AAAAAAAAAAAAAAAAAAAAAGGAAATAAAAGCAAAAGGCAAAGATCCATAAGTAAGGCTGAACTGAAAGTACCATGCTGACATGAAGTCTGTATTGCGGTGGGCCAGGAATTAACTATGAGCGTCCTAACAGCCAATGGGAAGGGGACAAAAAGATCAACTTTTAAGTTCAGAGAGGCACCCCTACTGTGACAGGAGAGACTTAAGGTTTCTGGTAGGAGACAGGATGTGTGTGTGTGTATACACATCTATTTTTTTAAATTTCTATTTATTTTTTTTTGGTTGGTAATATTTTGGGTCAATTTTAAGTCAGATGGATTGAGGGGAGGGAGTAGAGTTTATCCTGGGAGTTAGGAGCCTGGATTCAACTTCACATGTGACCTTGGGAGATTGTTGAACTTGTCTGAGTTTTAGTTCAGTCTATTAGAAGGAGGGTGCACTTGCCTTTGAGGGCCCTGATGATGACCCGACAGAGCCCATGGAAGGACTGGGCACACACAGCTGATCAGGAAGCCCAGCTAGCTTACTTCCTCTTGTCCTCTGAAAGCTGCCTGCCTTTAATAATAATAAAAATTATTATTTTTATTTCTCTTTGGTCCTTTCCTGCCTTGGGCCAGCTTCTCCCTCTACGCCTCAGACCAGGGCATTAGCTGGGCAGCTGGCAGGATGCCTGGGGAACTCAGTTGAGATTAGGGCTCCCTGCTGTGCCTGTGTCTGCAGATGACCTGCTCTGCCCCAGAGATTCTGACAGGTCTCACTCAGGCCATGGCTTTCTCTGCTCCTAGTCCTAGAGTGGCTGAGAACTCTGTTTCCTGGTTCAGTCTGGTCTGGTTCAGCGTGTGCTCCCTTAGTACGCCATGTGCCTTCCAACCCTCAAATCCCAGGAACAGATAAATAATTGTCCGTGTAATCCGTTGTTTTAACCTCCATCTCCCGACTGGGACTTGTGTCAAGGGCACAGAGTGCTGTGCCTGTCCCTCTGGTATTGTTGTCTAGAGGCCCAACTGTACCAGGACCAATGAGCGAATGGGATGAATAAATGAATTAAGGTTTGTCTAGGGCTGGGGTGAGGGTTCGGTGGGTAAAGGGCTTTCTGTGTAAGCATGAGGAACCCGAGTTCTGATCTTAAGCCTTTATGTAAAAAGCCGGGACTGGCAGTAGGTGCTTGTAACCCAAGTGCTGGAGAATGGAGACAGGTGAATCCTGGGCGCTTGTGGACTAGCCAGCCTAGCTGAAGCGGCCAGTGCCAGGTTCAGTGCGAGACCCTGTCACAAACATATGTATGTGTGTGTGTGTGTGTGTGTGTGTGTGTGTGTGTGTGTATATTTACAGAGAACATCTCAGTATTAATCTCTGCCCTTCACACATCACAGTCATATAGTGTTACCCTTTGCTACCACACACTCAAGTGCATACACTTGAGGACACCACACACGCACACTTATGTGAAGTCAGAATTCATCTCCATCTTGTAGTTAAGGAAAGCCAAGGGTTAATGTTGTTGTTTCTGGGATGGTATCTGGTAGTCTATGCAGGCCAGGTAGCCATGGACCTTGAGTCCTGACTCCACTCTTTCTATTTCCTTCCACAGGGAGTACAGACATGCATGACCCTGCCTCTGCTGTGTGGTGCTTGGGCTCAAACCCAGAGCTTCCTCCGTGCGAGGCAGGCTTTCTACCTTCTGCCCTACATCCCCGCCCTGATGCTCACTTTAAATAGAATAGCCATATACGTATCCCCCATTGCATCTGCTCCTCTTCTCTCTCCCCCTCCAAACTCCTCTTGTAATCCTCTACACCCCCTCTCAAATTCATGGGCTCTCCTTCCGTAATTTTTATCCCACCTTTTTTTTTAAAAAAATATCTTTTCCAAGTTAGTCCTCAGGTTCCATCCATAAAATAACTTCCTTAGCACGTTGGTACCTAAAGTTCTCGATGGGGTCAGGCACCCTGGCTCCCACCGTCTTCATTAGCCTCGTTTCTCTCAGGTCTGCCCAGATTTTCTTTCCCACATTCATCCATGGGGATGGATTTGTTTTCTTCCATGATCCTCATAGCTATAAATGCCGCTGACTGTCTAGTTTGTAGAGAACAGTGCAAAATGGAATGAACAGCTTCTTACTCCAAGATTAATGAGGTCTGGGTGTGGCAATGCACACATGTAATCCTAGCACCCAGGAGACTGAGGAGGTATACAGAGAGTTCAAGACCACCTTGGGCTAGATAGTGAGTTTGAGGCCAAACACTTTATTAAAGCAGGTAGTAAGACACTGCTTTAATAAAAATAAGTTGTATTAAATTATCAAAAAATTGCTTTAGTTTTTACTTGAGACATCAAGAGAGCAGCACCATTAAATCTGGCACTGTATTTTAAACCACTGGGCACTGCATGGCAACAGGGGCACAGCAGACCTGGTTCTCATTAGCATATCATTTAAATATCGAATGAATGGATGAAAGTAGATAGCCCAGGAGAAGTTACAGTTTTTCTGAGTTCTAGTTTTCTTATCTCCAAGGTGGGAACACCCTCCTTGCTTTCCAGGTAGGCAATGAGGACCCTCTGAGCCTGGGGCCACTAGATAAACCTTGGGGACAGGGCCTGGAACCAGTCTGGTCCAGGTGGACAGAAGCCAGAGGCCAGATTTGTATAGGGCAGAGTGAGGTTGGCCTGATAAGGTAGCTGGACTCTGCTCCCTGCAGGCAGCCAGAAGGCCTCTGATGACATAACTCTTGCTGGCCAGAGTCAGGGACTGCAGAATCTGTGGTGCCTCTTCTTTCTAAGCCCCATCGGGTACCAACGTGTACCCAGCACCGTGTTGGGAACTCTGCGTCTTTTAACACTTTCACCTTCATTTTGTAGCAAGAGTGCCAAAGCCAGGGTCGGAGAGAGAAAACGGTTAGCCACTTGGCCAGGGCAGAGTTGGCATGGATCCTGTCCTCTGCCACTGCCACTCTGCCGCCTGCTGAGAATGAATGACAGACCTGTGGCATGAAGGTGCTCATAGACCTGAGTATGCACACTTGGGCAGGCTGGCAGCGCACACCCTGCACCCTGTCATAGACCTGAGTATGCACACTTGGGCAGNCACACCCTGCACCCTGCCTGCGGATGCCACTGACTTTCTCTGAGGTCAGAACAACCTCTGACCATCCAGCAGGCCTTCTGCAGGCTGTATCTGGCCAGTGCTGGTACGGCAGACCCAGGGCACGGAAACTCTGAGACAAGCCGTATCTATTTTTCTGGGGAACTATTCTTATACAAATATTTGCCTTGCCTTTGGCTTTTAGGGCAGAAAAAATAATGGCTTTTTAAACCAAAAATGCACTAAGGTCTTCATGAGCTTGCTGTATAAAATTAAGAAATTGTGCATTATAAACAAAAACAAATGAAAGAAAGCAGGACCCTTGAAGCTCATCTTTCACCGCAAAACCATCATGAATGCCCCCCATTCACACACCATGTGACCCCAAATGTATAGCACATATAGGCAGCAAACAAACAATGTCTCCCGACAGCTCCCCTCCTCCACTCTTTCACTTTCCTTTTGAAGAACAGATGTCAAAGGCCAACTGCCTTCTTTGAGCCCCGGGATATGAATGTTTTTGCAGGGAGTTTAGACTGTGTAGTTTGACAAGGTCTAAGGTCACTCTGGAGTCTTACAGCCATCAAACTTCTTATTCTTCACCTTGAAATCATCTGTGTTTTGAGACCTGTTGTCAGATGGGGACACATACACACACGCACACACACACACACACACACACACACACGGCAGGCAAAACTTACATCTGGTGTTATGAAATTTGTTTTATGCTTCTCCTTAACTGTGTGGTGTTTGAACATCTTGGCTGTACATCCTCTGACCTCCACTTTGTCATGACTGCTAGGTGTTCTGGGCCTTCTCTGATGGTCCAGCAGCAGATGTGCCATGCAGGAGACGTCAAAGACATGTTCTGTTCCTTTGAAGTCTATGGTAGCTCATGGTGTCCAGGATTTGAGAACTGTGGAGTCTGTAGCTGGTTGTGGCCTTCAGGGTAACGTGGAGGAGACTGACCTGTGAAAAGAGCCCAGGGCTACATTTTCCATCCTGGAAGTGAGCTCTTATACTGACTTTTCCTCTGCTGCTCATATCTGCACACTCCTCCTAATGTGCATGCGTGCATGCATGCACACACACACACACACACACACACACACACATGCACGCATGCACACACACACTCCAGAACAGCAGAACCTTAGAGTCCCTAATACCAGGAGAGTCTTCCTTGCCACACAACCCACCCATTGTCTTGAATGCGAACCTGACCTCCAGGTTGTGGAGTGGGCAGGCTGAGACACTCCTCAGCATGTCCAGTGCTACCACAGAAGCCTCACATGTTGGTACCTGTGGCTCTCTGAGGCCTTCATAGATGAGGAAATTCTGAGGCTCAGACAAGAGCATCTTCGGTGCAAATAGAGCCAGGAGCAGAGTCTGTGCTATACCTCATTGTCCCTGTACATCTCTGTGGGCGGCTCTCTAAATATGTCCAGTTGTGGGATCTAGAACTCTTCACTAAGATTCTCTGGGCTGTAAAGATTCTTGGCCCGACTGCCTCCAACTTTCCCAGCATCCATAGCCCCTACACAAACACTTTCACAATCCAACTTCCCCAAACATAAAACCAACAGAGCCCTTTCCTGTCATCCCCAGGGTCTAGGAGATGAATAATGTCCTCAGACAGATGTCCATGTCATAATCCCTAGACCCTGAAATGTTTCCTTGTTTTGGCTAAAAGGACTTTGCGGGGCCATCAGCCTTGGGGTGGGGCATGTGTCATGTCATCACAAGGGATCTTTCAACTAAAAAGCTTTCCTAGCTGTGGTCGGGGTAGGTATGGTTAGACAAACCACGTTTGGAAGCACAGCACTGCTAACTTTGCGTGGGGGGGGGGAGTAGAAAGAGGTAGGAGAAACCAAGGAGGTGCCCCTCCCAAGCTGGGAGGCAAAGAGCTCCCAGAATGGTACACATGGTACTTTGAGATTAGCTGTAAGAGATTCCCATGGATTTTTAGCACACATGTGTGACTGAAATCAAAAAAGTAGACCTGTGATTTCTTCAGGAAGCTCCATTCAGCCACCCGCAGGTCCTTCCCCGGTCATTGTGCACACATGTGCATACAATTACGCTGCTCCTCAACTCAGGGTGAGTAGACAAGGCTAGGCACAGTCCTGAGGAGGGAGAAGAAGGATAATGTTAGTCTTCTAATTCTGATACTGATGATAGCAACACCCTGGCCTTGGGCATTCTGCTAAGTGCTTCACAGGTGGCAGCTCAGTCACTATAATGATGCTAGGAGGCAGGTCAGGCTCCCTTTACCTATGTCCCATTTACCCATTTTATAGATGAGGAAACTGAGACACATAGAGGTTAAATAACTTGCCCAGGGTCTCACAATTAAGAAACAGCTAGAATTGGACCTAGGCTATCTGGGTCACATTTTTCATTTTGGATATTTTGTGTACACACATGCGTGCACACACACACACTACTACCCAGTTCTAACCTAACCAGCCTTCTTCCTTCGGATTCTCCTCCCTTCTCTTTCCCCTCCTACCTCCTATCATTACTGTCTAAGGGTTATAAGAGAAGCCATGGGTGCAGCTTTCTAGGGGTTTTTGTTGTTGGGTCTTGTCAAAGCTTTTGGTAATGGAATATGTCAAGGAAAGAAAAGTTGCCGATGTTTTTCATTGCCTTTTACATTTCCTTTTATGAAACTCCACCCACTTCAGCTAGATAATTGGATCGATGTGATGTGTTATTAATTGCACATGGTGAGTCAATGTGTGAGGCTTGGCACAAGGCTTCGGGCTTGTCAGCTCACAGAAGTGGGGACATTCTGGCTTGGCAGGAAAGTGGACCGCAGCAGGGTCTTGCAGGTGGTCCCGCTCTTGGGGGGTGTTTTCCTGAGTTAGGCAGGCCGGCGACTGATTGAGGAACTTTCCCGGTTTTCTGGGAGCTAGCAGCTGGCGGTTCCTACCCAGGTCCCTACTTGCCTAGGGGGAAGGCTGGGCTAGGCTGCCGGAACCTGTTAGTCTGGTTTGTAAGCTCTTTACCAGGCTCTTAGGGAAGGAGGGAGGAAGAAAGGAGGGGGAGGGGAGATAGAGGAGATGGAGGAAGGGTTAATAGGAAAGGGGGTGAACAGGACTGTGAGGTCAAAGCAGGGGGGCAGTGCTAGAGGACCTGGAATAGCAGGGGTCTTGTTTCCATAAAAGTGCCTTGAGAAGGAGGTGTGCCATGGAACACTCTCAGGAGCATCCTGAGAAGGAGCTGGGTTACATAGACAGTCTTTCTTCCTATGCACAGGTACTTACAGACTAATGGGCAAAAGAATTAAGATACAAGTCATTTCCTATTGTCACTCCCTACTACCCAACCTAGAGACCCCCGCCTTCTGCCTTCTGACTCACATGATTCTTCCCCGCCCCCTCCTTTCTTCCTTCCCATAGCTACTTGGAGGCTGGCTCTGTGCTGTGGATGGGGCTTAGAGGAGACCTTGGCCCTCTGTGTTTTATAGCCTAGGGTCTCTTAGACCGCATCTCTGAGTGGCAGCCAAGCTATCTGAAGGCTGAGCAGGTGGGACCAGCAGAGACTCTCCACCCAGTACCCCAAGCCTGACTTACCTCATGTCAGCTGACAAAGCAGGCTGGTGGCCCTAGCTGCTTGGTTGAAACAGTCAAGGCTCAGAAAGAGCAGATGACTTGTTCAAAGGTCACAGGCAATGGTGGGACTGAGACCTAGGTCAGTTTGACTCAAAACTCCACAGTCATCGGCTAGAGCACTTGGGAAGGTATTCCAGGCCAATGAAGAGTAGGGAGGGTGTAAAGGTGTGGACACTTAAGGGCTGGGGCCCGGCGTTCTGTTATGTGGGAGACCCAAGTGTGCACATGTACGGGTGCCGGCTCCTGATAGGGCTTCCTAAAGGTCTGAACAAGATATTTTGGGAGGGTCAGCGACAGTCAAAAAAGATGCTGAAAGATTTCCTCTGCAAAATGGGAGGGCCTGAGAGGCAAAGTGGCTTGGTGCTTGGAGCATGGGTCCCTGTGGAAGGCTGCATTCAAATCCTGACATAGTCACTTGTTTCTGGGAGCAAGTCTCTTGACCCCCTATGGCTGCTTTGTGAGCCCTAAGGAAGGCCTGTAGGCGGAGTTGTTTTCAGCACCGAGTAAGTGCCCTATTTCGTCCAGAGCTGGGCATATGGTAAAGGCTGTCAATGCCCATGTTTTCTTTCATACTGACATCAGGGCTAGTGTGGAGTATCCGGAAGCCTCAGGAAAGGGAACTCTAGGGCCAGGGCCTAGCAGTTCTGGGAGGTTGAGCTGGGCAGCCTTCCCCTCCCCGCCAATGCCCATTGTCTTTGCCCTAAGCTTCTGAGTGATGGGAGGAGGGGAGGAGAGGAAAGAGAGGTTCCAAAGGTCACCCATGGGGCCTGACTCTCCCAGGAAGCAAGGGCCACCACAGTCTCTGTCTCGCAGCAGACTCCAGCAAGCTGGTCTTGGGCAGGCTGCATTCCTCTGCTGCTCTTCAGTGGACATGAAGTTGGCCTGGTTGAGTCTCAGGACAGCTGGGCTTTTGCCTCTCCTGCCCCTGCAGCCGCCCAGTTGAAAAGAACAAAGGGTCTCAGGAGAAGCACCATGGCCTCAGAGGTGCTGGCAGGTGCTGCGGTGTGTGCCCTCCTCACTCACGGGCAACTCACCCTGATGTGTGGCTTTGGTTAGTTGTGCAGGAGCTGATTGTGTTAGACACAGAGACACTCTGTGGCTAACATCCCTAGCAGGCACAGGCTGTGGGAAATAGACCCCGGGGATACCGGTAGAAGCTGAAGAAGATGCCTTAATGCCTTTGAAACCAGAAGCAAGAAACTGGAAGAAACAAGAAGCTGTTGTGTCAATAGACACTGGGTGGAAGTTTAACCTTTTTATGGAGAAAGGGCCCCATGAATACTTAAGTTTTCCAGGTCCATGAAAACCATACACAGCCCAGTCTTTGCACTCCCTTCCTTCAAGGATTGAGGTCTCAAGAAACAAAAGACTTAGAAGCTGGGTGCACATGGCATTGGGTTTGGGCCTTGGTTGTATTACTAGCTCTGTGATCTTGGCTAAGTGGCATAAACTCCCCGGACTCCGGTTTATTCATTTATAGAAACAGATGACGAGTCTTCACAAGGGGACCTGGGATGAAGTGAAAAGAATCCAATATAGCAAAGTGATTAAGGAGCTCAACCAAACAGAGATGTGAGTGTGGTGTCTAAAGCCACTCACTTGCTAGACTCCCCCACTGCTTGCTAGGCTTCCCCAATGCTTGCTAGACTCCCCCAGTGCTTGCTAGTCTCCCCCAAGCACTTGCTGTGGACCATGCTTTATGTTGGGCATCTTATCACTTGGCCTCGGCCTATTCCCAGGTCTTATTTACAAATCTTGATCCCCAACTCCTGTGCCTGCTTCTTCATCACCACCCTTCTCCTTACTCCTGGCTCACAGAGACCCGGGGGTCCCTTCCTTTTCTTTCACATCCTTAACCGCTACTGGCTCCTAAGACCCTGCTTCCCAGATGGCCAGGCAGCTGACCGTTGACCCAGTAGAGCCCAGCTGTTATGGCCTCACTGTTGGCTTCCTATCAGTTTCCAAGCAGCCCCCTGTCCCAGTGGGTCCTACTTGGACCAGAGACCAGCAGTTCTTCTGCAGAGCCACACCCAAACTCAGATGAATGCTGTCTGGCTCCTTTTACATTCTCTGGCAATCTGCAGAAACTTGGGCCAGGCAACTTCCCACTTGAAATGTTGACAAGTGCTGCCTCCTAATAAAATACAAGCCTGCTTTATATCTTTTTTTCCTGCCAAAGGCATCAGCGGTGATTGATTGATTGATTTAGAGAAATTAAAACATGTCACATATTTTATAAGCAACTTAACCATCCTTGCAGGAACCTGAATAACTGACATAAAGATGCTGGCTTTAAATGTGGAAATAAATATTTTTCAATATTCAAATCAGTATCAGATATGGAAAAAAATGAATAAGGAGCAAAAATAATTCATTTTCTCTTAAGTGGCACTCAGTATGTACTTCTGTAGCTCAGTGCATACTTCTGTAGCTCCAGATCTTTGGTCAGGACTGGATAAAGATGGATGCATAAAAACATAACCACAAATACAGTCAAAGATGCTCAGTTCAGGGGCTGGACAGTGATCATGTCTTAAGATCATACCAAATCTTGCCACTCCTCAGAACCTTCTAGATCTTACTCACTTCTTTACCCCTATCTTATCCAATGAGATCCATATTCTCCACCTCTGAGACACAGCTTATTCATCCTTTGCTTGGAATACCATTTCCTCTGGATTTTCTTGAACACGTGATCTAGGAGGGTAGAAATCCTGACTTCCTAGTGATGTCTCACATTCCGTAGGTGCTTGCTAAACGTTTGGAAAATGTGTGATCACTTTGTGAAACTTCCACTTAAGTTTCAAAACCTCCACCAAATATCTGCTTTCCCTACCTCGTTTTTAAATTATCTTTGTGCTCAATAGGGCCTAGCACTATAGTCTCTGCTTCCTTGCTGCTTTGTGTTGACTTAACTCACCTTAAAAAAATTATCATGCATATGTGTGTTGTGTGTGTGTTTTGTGCAAGTGAGTGCAGGTGCCCATGGAGGCCAGAAGAGGCACTTGAGTCCCCGGAACTGGAGTTATAGACAATTGTGAGCCTCCATGTGGGTGCTAGGAATTGAACCTGGGTCCTCTGGAAGTGCTTTTAACTCTAGGGGCCATTTCTCCAGTCCTCTTTGTTTTTTACATATCTACAAAAAACAAGGGACATTCTAGACTTTGGAGTCACCAGATATGGGATGCAATCTTTTTTCTGACCATTCATTCATTTATTCATTCATTCATTCATTCATTCATTCACACGTTCAACAGAGAGTTATTGGGTATCTGGCTCCTATGTGACAATCACTGGGAATTACATGATGAGTAAAGACAGTGTGGCACCTGCTTCTCAGGGAATTTCTCACAGGTGTACCACTGCCTTCCTATGCTTTGAATTCCTTAGCTGTAATTTCCTTGGGAGCTGATTAAGTCAGGAGGTACTGGGAGGCACCTGGTGCCTGTGAGGTGCTCTGTAGACTTTGCCCAGTCCTCAGCTTCTTCTGTGAACTATGAGCTTTGCCTGGGGATGGGGGAGGTGTCTGTTTCCTTTCTCTGCCCTCAGACATAGTCATTTCAGCTGCCACTGAGGGTGCCAGAGGGGCTCTTTGTGCCTGATTTCTTGTGACATTTTCTGACACACACACACACACACACACACACACACACACACACACACACACACACAAAATTGGCATGGTCAGATGTGGCCTGGCTTGGCTGCACAGGCTGTTCCAATAGCCACAATCATGTTTTCGGTTGGCGTGAGGCAGCTGTAGAGCAATCAGGAGTGCCAGAACACCCAGGTCTAGAAGGACACAGGGTAGCCCTAAGGAAGAGAAGGACACAGGGTAGCCCTAAAGAAGAGAAGGACACACGGTAGCCCTAAGGAAGAGCGCTTGGTATCTGGCCCCCAAGGTGGCTGAGACCCAGACATGGTATACTTTACCCAGTTTTGTGAGGGAGTTTGAAGAGATGAGATGGGGTTACAACTCCAGGATGAAATGAGGTAGTGAGGCCCAATTCTAAGACTAAGTAAGAGATAGGGTTTGAGTATGTTGGAATTCCACCTGCCTGTCAGAAGTTATTAATAATTTCATAATAATTTAGAGTGACAAAGCTCAGAAAACTGTGAATGTGCTCTGTGTTAAAGACTGGGCCTTCACAAGAGGGGATAGCTTAAAATTAAGGAGAACAACTGAAATTATTATTTTAAAAAAGATCAACTACAAATTTACATTGTGACCCCAGGTTTCCACTCAACATTTTGGGCTCATCTAAATAATGTGTAGGCAGTGGGAAAGCAGTGCCTGTTTTGTGAGGAGAGAAGGCTCCCTTTATGGTGGTGACTGGGTAAAAGGGGTAGTGGCCCAGAAACGGAGGTGGGAACACCAGAGAGGGGAAGTCAGGGGACAGCTCCAGCAAGGAAGGAAGGAAACAGTCCACAGGCCACGTCCCTCTCCCCCTCTGCCCCTGGGGCTCTTCTCTAGTTGCACTGTCAACCTGTTGTGTCCTGGAAAGCCCCTCAGTTCTCTTGACTGACCCTTTCCCAGGCTCTCCCCTCTGCTGCCAGTCCTCCACCTCTGCCATGGTCCATGGCAGACGCACATTGACTTAGAGGCTGTCGGGTCCACCCTGCTCGTGTACTGGGTACAGTTTGCTGCCCCTGAATTGCGTGTTTCCACTTTTCATTTAAAATGTTCGGTCTGACGTCTGTCTACTCAGCAGGACCAAGTGCTACCTGAGGGCGAGGCCTGTATCCACTTTGGTGTCGCTGTCACCCTGTCCCTCGCATAAGGACAGGCGCAGGTATAGCAACACAGTAACTACCGAGGAATGAATGAATGGCTGCCAGGGGCTGATGCCTTTACCGAGCCTGGCTTCCTACTCAGCCAAAAACCTGGGCCAGATGAGAACGTTCCAGTGGTCCACAAGAGCTTCTGATTTTGGAATCAATTCCACAGTCAAGTCCAGAGCATTGGGAAATAAGGGCCTGTGTCGTCAGAAGATGTCCTGGTGACGTGGGTACTGGGCACAACAAACCTATCACAGCTTGCTGCGGTCACGCCCTATCTTTTCAGTCTGCTCACAGGCTCTGAGGGCAGAGATCAGTACAAGACATGAGGGGACAGCGCCTTTCTGGCCTGCAGTGTGTGGGCACCTCAGCTGGCACCACTGCGATGCCTGGAACAGGGATCCACTTCAAGACACTTGTTTTCTCCTGTGTCTGGGGTCTGGGCTGGGTTGGCTCAAGGTCGGGCTTGGTGGATGGTCATCTGAAGAACCACACGTGGTCCCAAGTATCATGGTCTCAGGAAGTAGGGATTCTCTCTCTCTCTCTCCCTCCCTCTCTCCCTCCCTAGCTCCCTCCTCCCTTTCTTTCTTTTTATTGACCTTTTAGGTAGAATTTATTTGAAAGTCTGATTCAAGTTACAAGAATATTATTTTCTTTTAAGTAACTTTGGGAAGACATCTTTTCAGTTATCTCCATGTTTTTATTCCTGACACATTAGATTCCTCTCAGATAGTTAAATTTTAAAGGCATCTTTTCATAGAACAAAAAACAAAAGCTCGATAAAAGTAACAACGCGTGCCAATTTAGAAAAGGATTTATTTGTTTTTTTTTCCCCCAACATAATTTTTTTTATTAATTATTTGGGAATTTCATACAATGTACCCTGGTCATATTTGCTTCCCATTCCTCCGAAGTCCACCCTCCCACCCCACCCCTACTCCCCACCAAAAAAGAAAAAGAAAAGAAAAAAAAACCTGTTGCCCATATACTCAATGAAACATGGTCAAACTTCCAGTGGCCAGTTCCTTAATAAAAATGGAGTGCTTCCCCATCCCCACCCCTGCCTGAAGCCTTTACCTGTGAGGAGCTATACTTCAGCATCCCAATCACAGTTTTTAAGGACTCTCTCCAATAGTTTCCTGTCTGGACTGTTTATTTTTATTTTTATTTTTTTGTGGTAGGAGGGTAAGGAGAGGTTGTCACAGAAGCCGTCAGAGTCTCGCATTCTCTCAGTCATCAATGCGACTGCAAAAGAAGTTTCCTGGCCCATAGCAGCCAACGCAACATGGATCATGGAATCCCACATGGGGAAGCAGAGTTTCTTCGCGGAAGCTGATGCCCCCCAAGGGCTCTAGTCTGTAAAGTGGAGGTTGTATGACACACAGTGTCACCTCTGTATTCCGGTGTTCAGAGGTGGCCCAGCTCAAGGGGACGGACCACAGACCCACAGAAGCACTGTGGGAGGACTTACGACATCTGAACCGCCACGGATGACTTCTGCGTGGTCGATCTCTGGGATCAGGCTGGCCCACGATTACGCAATAAACAGAAGAACAGATCCACTTTCGATTCAGCTTTCACATTGGTAAAGAACATTCTAGTTATCTATTCCAAAGAGAGAAGAGGCTTGGTGCTTCTCAGGCCTGGCTTCAAAGCCTAGTTTTATGACCAAATCCTCGGGATCTTGGGCAAACCACTCACCTCACCTGGATCTCAGCTTCTCACCTCCATAGCGGAGGCAGTAGCACAGGGCAGCCTGATACCGCAGTTGAGGCTTAGTGAGCTACTGGAGGAGGCTGTGACCTGGCGAGAGCCCAGTGGTGGCTCCCTCTTGTCCTCATCCTTGTTCTTCATTGTCGAAAGTCAGAAGAACGACCTCTCAAATTGTCTTCCTGGATCTAGACCAGCCACGGCTAGCAGGGATTCAGTTTCTGTCCTTCAGCCAGTTGCTAAGTAAGGAGACAAAGATACAGAAAGAACCTCGGGTCAGTCTTTGGGGCTTCTGCATTCAGTGGGCATGGGAGGTGGTGGGAGGCATGGTGGGTGCGGCCTGTGCTTCTGGAGTTGTGCTTGGTGGGCCACAGAGCCCCTGATGCCAGTCTCCAGTATGCTTCCGGTCTGTTCCTAGTTGTCTGTGTAGATCCAGTTAAAATCTGACAGCTTATCAACTTCAGAAGAACTAAAGATAGGAAGGGTCATGTGAGCAAGGCTGAATTAAGCTTTTAGCTGCCTCCTAATATGGCCTAATGCTTGTTCAGTGCGGTGTTAAGCACTTTCATATATACTCTCTTTTAACCACACCAATATCTTTATGACGGAGGTCTTTGCATTGCCCCCACTTTATGGCTAGACACTACAGCTCAGAGACACAAAGTGACTTGACCAGGGCCTCATGGTGTGTTAGCTGCCAGCATACTGATATAGCACCCAACTGTTTGCACTGAACCAAAACGTCCTGAGGGGATAGGGAGGCACATTGTGTTCTGTGTGTCTGGAACATCTTAATGGGAGTGCTTACTTACTTCAGACGTTAGACTCCTTCCAGGAGAGGGAAAGAACAAGACCTTGAAGACAAGACTTCAAAGCCATGAGATGCTACTGCCCTGGCATGGGAGGGAGGAAGCTGATTATGGGACCAAGAGCATCTCATGCTGGCTGAGAGGCAACCCGTGGTGGTGTTACCAGTTAGATCTGTCTGAGAGCCATCATTTCCCTTGAAATCGGATGCACTTCCTCCCACTAGCAGGGCTGAGACCACAGTGGGCCAGGAGTGCTATGGTAGGCAGGCTTGCAGAAGGTGGGCCCTTTAGCCCAAAGCCTGGCATCAAACAAAGGGGTCATGCCAGGTAACTCTTTAGCTTCAGGGGTAGGGCTTTCTTGGCTGTTTAGTCAAAAATGGTTTTCTTGGTCCAGAGGTAAGGGTTATTGTCTTAATGACCATGCATCTTGAATTCGTGTTTTCATTGGAAAATGTTAAGAGTGCCAATCATAATGCATAGCTTATAGGATGATTGCAGCTGAATAAACTGTGGCATGGAGAAGCAGAGCCAGGAGCCCCAGGCCATACAGTAGTGGGTGGAGCTGGGATTTGAACCCAGACCCCTGACTGTAATCATGCGGTCATTCCCTATGGCTCTTCCAGGGAAAGACAGCCCTTGGAATGTCTGGCTAACACATGCCAGTAAAGGTGTTTCTGGTTCCTTCCTGCTCTTCTGCCTCCTCCTATTTTGAACATAGAATCCCTGGGCCCTTGGTGGAATTGGGGAGCCGCCTCACACAGGACATCAGTTTAATTAACCACATGTTCCTCTGTGCCAGGAATCAGACGAGGCCCTGGGAATATAACTCTCAATAAGGCAGGGCAGATACAGGGAGAGGCCCTGGTAGGGCAGAGTGCTGGGCTGTGGTAGTCATAGGGATTGTGGGTGACCTGTTTGTCTTACCCTACTTTCAACTGCCCAAGTCTACGCTGTCAGTGCTGATGGCAATCTAGAGATGGATCTTCACCAGGAATGCCCATGGCTGGTGAGTGACAGCCTGGGGAGTCACACTGGGGGACTCAGGTGCGTGTTCTGCCCCCACAGTCCCAGCAGCGCAGACTTCTGGCTGCCCGTAGTGGGAACTTGGCTGGTACCCTGGAGAAGAGGGAGAGGGTTTCAGAGATGTAAGACATACTAGAAGGTTTCTAATGCTAGAACAAAACACCATGCCCAAAAACAACTTGGGGAAGAATGGGCTTATTGTAGTTTATAGTTCCACCTCACAGTTTGTCATGGAGGGAAGTGAGGGCAGGAACTCAAACAGGGCAGGCACCTGGAAGCAGGAGCTGATGCAGAGGCCAAGGAGGGGTTCTGCATACTGGCTCACTCCTTCTGGTTCCCAGGACCACCTGCCTAGGGGTGGCACTGCCTACAATGGGCTGGTCGTTCCCATATCAGTCATTAATCAAGAAAATGCCCTGTAGACTTACCTATGGATCAATCTTGTGGAGATATTTTCTTAATAAAGATTTCTTCTTCATGGATGACCCTAACTTTTGTCAAATTGACATCAAACAAGCCATACAGGGTCTGTGAGTCAGATATGGGGCCAGCTATATCCTCAAAGAATCTAAAGGAAGTCTTTAGAGTGGATGGGGGTTAGCCCTCTGAAGGGGCCCGGAGGATGGAGAGAGAAGGAGAGATGAGTGTTCAGGGGACCCGTTAGATCTGGGGTATCTGGGTGGCCCAGTGAGGGTCTATGGCTCAGTGCAGGTGCGTCTGGTGGGGCGGGGCTGTGATGCCGAGGCAGATTATGGAGACCACAGAGAACAACATGTACTCCATCCTTGCATCTTGGGCAGCAACAGAGAATTGCAGGTAGGAAAGTTCAAGAAGGATTTAGAAGCTAAGTTGGTATCAGGCAGGCTCAGCTGGGCATGCTCTGAGAACTCCTCCTGGGGAAGAAGGAAGAGAACATGCTGGCCGATTCCCCTTCAGGGAGCTTCTTCTTGCTGCCTGTCTGCCCTCTCGGGGACCATAAAGTTGGGCACTGTGGGTAATTATAGGCTGAAAGAGGCCCAGGGCAGGAAGACTGGGGACCTGTGGGGGTTGGGTGGGGTGCCGTGAGCAGGAGCCATCATGCTGGCCTGGCACACGGAGACACCCGAGGCCCCCATAAAGTGGCTCAGAGCAGGCCCTTTTACAGGCATTCAGGGATGGAGCATGACATCACCACAAGCCAATCAGTGACACCCTGGCCCTACTTTTCTTCTCCAGGGCTTGTTTCTGTGGTGACTGAGGTAGATTCTTGGGAAAGTAGACGCTTTCTTTTGGAGTTCTTGTACTCAGTGGCTTCTGAGTGAGTCTCGGCGCAGGGAGCCAGGTTCTGAGGCTGCTAACGTTCTTCCAAGATGGAAGTGCCGCACCCCTCAGGCATTTTGAACCGGCTACCTGGGGTCCCCTTCCAACCACACCCTCCACCAATGAATCAACTTTTCACATAGACCCGATTGAGAGAGACCATCGACGTACTTGAAAACTTCATGAACGACAGCGGCTGGAGACTGAAGAGATGTGGATTTAGATTCTCCTTCCTCTTCCCACTGTCTGTGTCTTTCTTGGACAAGCCCATTGGCTCGGGAGCCTCAGTTTTCCCATCTCTGCCATGGGCCAACAACACCCACTTTGCAGGTTTAGTTGGTAGCACCAGGCTTAATGGCTGGGCATTAATACTTGACAGCCGTGAAGTAAGTATTTTGACTAAGTCATTCTTCCTTACCCTCGATTTAAAGATGAACAAAGACATACAAAGCCTTCACAGGGCTACTTCCCACACTCGATTTATGGGGTAGATGATCTTAGAGAAGACGGAAATGAGGCCCAGACAGACAGAGGGTCTTGTGAAAGCCTCTCCGGCTAATTAAGCTGTTTGTAGTTCTTTGGCGAAGCACAATCATTTGTTAACTCTAATTAAGAGAAACTATAAAACCAATAGAGAACCCAACTGAACGTTTGGAGAACAGGGGGTGAGGGATGAACCTTTCCTCCTGAGGCTGGCAGCCTAGCAGGGGTGGTGGGGACCCGGTTAGTCCATGCTGGCCTTGACCATACACTCCACAGGACCTTGCTCCTCATCCCAGGCGAGCCGTTACCATGCTGAGGGTTTCCTGGGACATCATAGAACTGAGGGTGAACTTGGCTTTCATTTCCCCCCAGTTGGAGTGAGATTTCAACGGACACCTCTTTGCGTCCACAGAACATGTCTCTTGTCTGTCCCATTTCCTTCAGATGTGTTCACAGAGGCGGGATTGGTGGCTCTCAGGATGGGAATGTTTTTGTGGCCTGTGGTGCGTATTTTCCAATTTACATCCCACAAAGGCCCTTGCTTTCTTTGCCTCCAGCCGAGTTTTATCTGTCTAGAAATTTCTACACAGCTTTACCAGCACTGAGTGTTACTGTTTGCTGTTTAGCTTGCTACACGGTATGTTGCCATTACCTTTTAAATTTTATTTTAACTAGCTTTATTTGTTAATTAAAACAGATGTGTGTGTGTGTGTGTGTGTGTGTGTGCATGTGTGTGTGTATCTCATGCGTTCCAGTGAGCTCATACTCTGATTTTAACAGTATTTGATGTATTTGGTGGTACTGAATAAAGCAAATGCTACGAATCACAAGAGCTATCGCTTCATGTTTGTAGAAAGCAAGCACATTGTCTGCCCTGCCAGACAGTGATGATTGTCATAAAACGGGGCTGCCTCCAAAGTTGAAGTAAACAAATGATTACAGTGTATAATGGAAGACTGACCCTGATGAATGAAGTTGCTAATGTGATTTCCTGGGGTGGATGTCAGCCAAGGGCTTCCCCTGTGGCTTTACAGTAGGTCCCAGTGACAGCTGTAAAAACGGGGGGGGGGGGGGGGGGGGGGGGGGGGGGGGGGGGGGGGGGGG